TGAATATGTTAGTATTTCTTGAATTGAAAGAAAAAATCTGTTTCAATTAATTATTAATAATAATATTGAAATTACTAATAATAATAATTGCTTAAATTGCAGTTAAGTTATATGAAATAAAAAAAATAAGAGTTCTTGTTTTAGTGATGGAGATGGCACATAAATTAGTGGTGGAAGTTAAGGTTTGGTTGGTAAATGGGAACTGCTTTGGATGAAACTTCTCAGTGTAGAAAACTTTGCATCCAATGGACCTAATCTTTAAAGCAAAGATTGCATGATTATATACCCATATCAAGATTTAGAAGTCATTGATGTCATTATCAGTTATTTATTTTATCTTGAAGAATTTGGTTAAAATCGACCAATCTCGAAAGTAGAAACGAAAAATATTTTTTAACTTTATTTTTTTCGTGCTTTTACACTACTCTCTTTCCGACTTGAAGTACTCTCTTTTTACCCATCGAGTAACAGTTTCAGAGAATCGTATCGATAATAAGGTTCATTTTGAACATCTTTCATGCTCTATCTCGATAATACGAGCCGTTTTTTTTCCCAACATGTCTTTGTCCAACCCCCATTTTTCATATCTTTTTCGTAATGAGAATGAATATATATTGGTATGAAGTGAGAGCACTTAGCCTAGAGCCCTAAGCTCCTCGGAGGTAAGGAAGAAGATGACACGAAAAACATGAATATAATTTTCAAAATGATTAAGTTAAAAACTTGCTATAGAAATAAAGTTTTTCGGACAAAACGTTAAAGTTACGAGGCTTAAAAATAAATAATAAATAAAAAAGATTCTCTAAAGTGTAAAGTATCCATTAATGTCAAAAAGCTTTACAATATCCCAAAGGACAAAATGTATTGGTGGCTGGATTCCTCCATTTCTTACTACTGGTCAAAATTAAAACTACATTGCACGTTACTTCTGAAATATTTCGTAAATACTGTAAAAGTAAAATTTGATATCAATTTATTAGGAGGATTTGACGAGTCTCAAAAGAATTAAAGAAAAGAAAATTGTACTCTTAATACTCAACTTCTATTATTCAATTTTTTTGTGACGATGAAATATTATGAATAACATTTTTTTACTACATTTGGTATGTAAAAATTAATTGTTAATATATGAATTTAAACACCAACTAAAATTTCTAGATACGTGAATATAAATAAATGTATATATGATAACTGTAGATTTCTGTAGATCAAGATTCATTAAATCGATATTCATCGAGTCGGATCAATGTGAATGCTAATTAATTGAAAATTAATTATACGAAATTCATACATGAATTTTGTAATATTTATTACATATTGAAAAACGAAAAGTAAGGTAATATTGAAATAATTGAATTGTAGTAGAGTTAAAATCGTTCAAAAATGATTCTCACTTGATGTGATGTTTAAATATTATATATATAGATTACATCTGATACTGTATTTTACAATTTTTTAAAGTTAAGTATAACTAAAACTACCTTGATGTAACATACTTATGGTATTTAAAATTCAATACTTAGGTACTTAACCTTAAATTAAAAAGCAGATTTGTTAGGAAATATGTGACTCCCACGTATAAAGGTCCCACGAAAACATAATTTGGAATATTTATTTTTTCACGGATTATAATATGGTCTTCTTGTAGAGATCATGACATATGAAACCTAAAATTGATGACCGGTCCAAATCTATTGGGGTCCACCAGCAGTCTGGCCAACCACATTAATATTGGAATATGACAATGTATGAACCCTTCAGCCCTACAATGTGTACAAAAAAGTGCTGAATTTTACTTAGAATACATGACAATTTTTTATTCGACAATGGTAAAAAAAAAAAAAAAAAGATCAACCAAA